ACTTGGAGCCTTGAGGTAAACTATCCTTCCAGAACTTCATGGTCTGAGTCATGACAACCCAAAGCAAACTCCAGGGTGATTGTCGGTTAGACATCCCTGTGATCTTGGCTTGACCTGCTGTTGGCTCAAACCAATGCGCCTCCCCACTCCACGGTATTTGTCACGGTTGGCTTAGGGTTCAGGGATTTAGGGCGTTATCCTGTAGGGGCTTTCCTCTGTGCGGTCAGATATGGGGGTGGGAAATGTCCTTACTATAGGGACTCCCAGAAGCGTTTTGAAAGCTCTGAACCCTTTTTTCGTAGCACGTGCCCCTGTGACCCCCATCCCTCTTAAAAAGGGGCTCCTAACTTCTAGAATATCTAAACCCTAAACCCTCATTATGTGGAGTGACAGAAGGCTTGCTGAGGTCTTGTCGATGCCCTTCGGGCACAACGGACTGTAAGCCAACTCAAGAGCCGGTGGCAAAATGGGCAGGGTTTAGGGCTTACTTAAATGTGCTGGAGCTTAGGCTCCACTAAAAGAGTTCAGGGTTTCTGTAGGGGTATTTAGGGAAACATAATGTATAGGGATGAAGGTTTAGGGTTTAGAGGTGAGGCTTACAGGAGCGGGAAGTAGTGAAACGGTTAGTCAAAATGGCTTCAAGGGCTTCTAAGTTCTAAGGGCGTACCATCAGAATCACCAAATTTTCCTACTTCTCATGCCATCCAGGTTTCAAGGCTTAGGAACTCAAGATGGGAGGCTACCCCTGCCTCAGAAGAATTATTCATCGTCCTGCGATGCAGCACCAGGTAATTAAAAGTCCTCTCCTTGGTCGCGCGCTTCAAGCGTCGCTGGAAACTAACCTACAGGAAGTTGTTCCAGTTTCGGGCATCATGGCCGCGAGGGTGTAGGGTTTAGGGCTTACGGTTTGGCTTCAGGTTTGGGCCTTAGGGTTAGGAAAGTGCTTGGATACTTAGGATGCCCGCAGCGCACAAAACTTGAGGGCGCCTTCTTCAGAACAACCTCCGATTGCGAGGACCGAGCTCTAGAATCTCTGAGACCGTATTATGTACTGTAGTGAGTATTTGGGACTATTGGATGATACAATCAATCTGACTTTCACCTTTCTCTGCAGAAAGTAAGATCTGACAGCATGTTGCCAGCGTTCCGCGGCCAAGAACATGTACACGCTCAAAGGTTAAAGTTCAGAACCTTAAACCTCAAACCCTTACGTTGAGGTGCCAGAGGATATGACTATTTACGTCATACTCTTGAAGGAGGAAGGAATCCTGCACCACACCTTGCTCCCCATGTCCTAGAAAGTCAATGATACTAGTTCAAGGGCCATAAACCTGTAGGGCTTAGGGTTTAGGAATATCCATGTGGTGCAAAATTATCATCCAGCAACAGTCATAGCATGCGAGACAGAGCCAACATGGAACGCACCCCGTGATGCCAAATGCAAGGAATCGATTTTAGGGCTTAGGGTACCTTCACGGGTATAATCAGGAACCATTAAGAGCCATGTGATAACCGCAGGTTATAATCGTGCTCATTGGGTAACCCCAATCCCGGCATTATTTCAAGCAGTGGATTGTGGTTGTTTTTCTAAGGCTCGTATACACTTCCTTCTTGGGGTTGTGTACTCCTATGCCTTACCAGAAAACCAACAACAATGAACTCTAGACACAGGAGTATCGCATCACAGTTGAACTGGGCAAAGCCGATGCGGAAGCCAATAGAAGAGCTTTTCGGAATTAACACGCTGAAGCCCCACAGGGGACCCTTGTATTCCTCGCAGCTGCGTGCACTCGGAGGTCTCTAGGAGCCCATTTCTTGAACCTTCAAGCCCAGAACCTACTCCCTAAACCCATACCCCCAATCTGTAAAGCCTAAAGCTAACGTAGGGCACATAAGAGGTCTCACAGATGCGAAACATTTAGAACTGCGGGTCTTTGCTTTTTGCGTGGAGAGAGAAGGATCTGGGTTGGACTCTTGCAGTAGCAGGGGGTTTCTGTGATTTGGTACAAGTTGACTTGTATGCGCACTGTAGGTTTAGAGTTTAAGGTTTGAAGGGGCGAGGCTTTAGCGCTTAGAGTGTAGGGTCTGCTCTGCAAGATATGTGCTAATAGGCCATATATCCTTCCCAGAAACCACGACAGGAATGGACATGAAAAGGGATCCTTCGCTCCAATCCAGAATAAGGAACCGAATATAGAAGTCCGAATAGTCAATGGTGCGGATGCGGGTAGCTTGCGGCAAAACCATGATAAGACATGAAGGTGTATTTTACGACTCTTCCTATAAATTAAGGGTATAGAAATTTGTGCTTAAACGCTATCACAAGCAGCAACGTAAACCCTAAACCTAGGTTGCCCAGTAACCTCTCAATAATGAGGGTACCGTTTTTCCAAATATTCAGCTTTAATAAGGAGACCCCAAAATAAAAAGGGAAAAAGGGCACTACTGGGGCAGCTAGAAACCTTTACCCTTCTCGGACTTCCATGTGAGGTCTACGGCAAGCCGTCCTGAGCTTCGCGGCTTCAAGCTTCGAAGCTCTTTTGCTTTGGGCTTGATTTGTGGGAACCGGAAAAAGGCCTCCCACGGATTTTTACGCTATGGGAATCAGGGTTTGGGAGCTCATTGCTCCTTAAAGGGAGATGCGATACTGGAATCCACGGGTCGTCTGGGTCCTGACCATTACAGCTACGCAGCTACATCACTAGGCATGTGCGTGGGTTTTCGGAGCCCCTCCCCGCACCGGAGTTGCTTGGGCAGTCAAGCGTGCTACGCTGGCCGGTGTATAATCACACCCAGAGGACACAACTTTCCATAGTCATCCAAATTAAGTTGCTTGTTTCGTGGCTGTTCGTTGTGTTCAGTTCCGGCTGACTGCTCGAAACTATTGGTGCATCAAGCTAGGCCTGGGAAGGTAATTAACGAAACGCGCGTGTTTGTAAGCGCAAGAGACTATAGGATCTGCTTTAAACCCGGACAGAGTTGAGGGTTTCCCGACCTAGCACTAGGCAGCCCTCATCACGTGCAGATAGTACGAGGAGATCCTCCGCACCAGCAGTAAGTCCTGAGTGCCAAAGCTCAGGAAGTCAAAACCTGGTTCCTTATTGGGATGCTATTCAACAGTATATGTGTAGAACTCATGGGTTCGAGTGTGGTACAACTTGAAAAGAATGCAGGCATGGCGCAGAAAAAAGTCATACCCAAAACCCTGGCCCCTAGACTCAGGGTTTAGGGCTCAGGTTTTAGACCCAGAAAAATCACGATGCTGAGAGTACCAGAGTCAGCCTTGACCTTCGCATCCTCTTGTGTGATCAGTGGCAGGATCTCCTGGTTGCCTCACCGTTGCGGGTTTAGGGTTAAGGGATTTTGCGTACTCTTCTGTGGGATTATGCAGGGAGTATTACGGGGCCTAGAATCCTAAACCCTACCCCCTGTATTCGTCCCTATATTCACTCGCTAACTTTCCCTGAAGTGCCAGTAAGCTGCTTCGAGGCATCTGCGCATGCTGGTACCCCGGGCTGCTAATTGTAAACAGCTTTTGTGTGCTGGCGATCCTGGGTAGGAGTATGACACAGGGTTGAAGGCTTACAACAAATCGAGCGTGTAGAATTTGGAATTGGGGGCTTCCAAGTCCCATGACCCCTTGAAGGATGTCGAAAGTAGAGCCCCAAATATGGTGCTGTAAACTTCTCTTGGGTGATCTCGAATTTCTAGATCTTCTCAGGGGTCTGGGCTGCGGAAAAGGACACACGGATTGGGGTTCAGTGTTGGTGATTTGTTGGACTGCAGGGTTGGACGTAAAACCAGGAAAAAACAAAGCTTACTCTGGGATTCAACCAGCCCAAAGTAGATACCAGGTATAGACTTGGGCGCCCAAATAAATAATCCCTTACAAGCTTTAGGGTCCATAGTAGGTATTATCAAAGACCTACCCCCACGGGTATCCTACACCCCAAACGCTAAACCGTGTCGATTCTCTCAGCTGCTACTGGGGACGCGGAAATCTTGTTCGACAATGGGGGGGTGACCGGCAATTCCCCAGAAGCCGCGACAAGCTGATCTTGAAGTGTATTCCTGGGTTGCTGTTAGGTTGAGGGTTTGGTGTGCATGAATTTTAGGTGTTAGGGCTTCGAATGTTCAAGTTTCCGGACCTGTGGGCAGATCTAGAAAGTACAGCCTCCTGTAAGGTACCCTATACTATTTCTTAAATGTGTTTTCTAGGTGGGGGATCTACCTTCTATGGGGTCTGGGGTTAGGGTTCAGGTTTTAGGTCAGGAACTTACCTTAAGTTACTATGTTATAGGGACTCAGTTCAGGGTCAAGTAACCATAGTATGGATATATAGATAACGGTCTTGTCTCTAGAAGATGAAAACAACACAAAGTTCCTCAATAGCAAGCCAGATTCAGAACGGGCTCGCACTGTGGCCGTTGTACCGGCTGTGTGAGCGGCTGTGCGAGCACATCCTCGCTGCTTCGCGGTTTGGGGTTCAGGGTTTTGGGTAGCAAGACACTTCCAAACCCTTTGGGAGTCTGAGGAGTTGTAGCAAAATCCGAACCCGTAACCTGGACTGAAGTAGATAAAATCATGGTCCAAAACCCAGAGAAAAAGTCAGAAAGAACATGAGATTGCATACTGTTGAAGTCCAGAGGGGTTGGGACCATACGCCACAAAATCCAAGTTTACAAAGTGACGAATTGGCGTACACCTTAAACGCATTGACCGCCCACGAGCCAGGATTTCCATCTGCAACGTATGCCTAGCCTGCCCTAAGGCCTTATGGGGGGCTTGGTGAGTAGGTTGGGGTTTATAGGCTTTCAGGGTTTACCCTAGGGGGTTTCAAACGTGGCCCAAGCACGCTCATTTCGATAGTACTAGTAACAGGACGAATAATCATGCTAATTTTCTCAGTGCCCTGCATACAAAAAATGGTACTAGTAATTAAAGGAAATAGTAATACCAAAAACAAATATTACTAGCAATAACAATCTTTGATTACTCACCTTGGCCCAAGCATCATTTCTTAACTGCTTCTGCTCCTTTGACAGGCGCTCCAAGGACGTCTTCAGCTGGCTCAAAAGCTCTTGATGTCGATCCTGTGGCTTGCTGAACCTGTGCTCAGAAAGATTTTGGCTTTTGGGCGGAAGTACAATGTAAAGAACTCCGTCGAACTGTTCGAAGGAATTCTCTCTTCTTACATGTTTGGGTGTGTGATGGATGATGCCACCGACAAAAAAAAGATGGCACCGGCGCCCAGGGACAGGCGATCAAGTTGTTGCCCTTGTTCCTTCAACAGTTGGTCCCACTGTTTTGTAAGCTTCCTCTGCGAATCGGCGCTCAACTCCTTTTGATCGTCGGCAAGGCAATCCAACTGCTCGTCAAAAAGTGATTCCAGCTGCCTCAAAAGCTCCTTATGCTGATCTTGTAGTGTGCCTGAGGTCTGGAGCACAAGGTAAGAAAGCGGCCCGTGAACCCAGGACTCACAAACCAAGAAAGTATCCAAAGGCTCTGGTGTGCTTCCTTTCTGGGCCTGTTATGCTTAGGTTAGGGATGCTAGTATACCATCCAAAACGGAACTACACAGCTGCCACAGGGGATACAGCATAAACAAGCTGAGGCGCTCAAAATAGGATTGAGGTGCTGGTGCAGTTGCTCGTATTGCTGCCTAAGCTGGTCGAGTGAGTCGATGTTGAGCTGCTTGTGTTCTGCGAACAAATTATCCAACTGTACTGTCAGGTGAGACAACAGCTCTTGATTCTCATTGTGCCGTGTGCCGAAGGTGGAATCCAGTTGTTGCAAGAGCAGGTCGTAGTGCTGCTTGAGATCAGCAACCGAGTCAGTGTTGAGCTGCTTGCACTCTGCCGACAAGCTTTCGAACTGGCTCTCAACTTGTGATGCCACCTGAGAGGGCAGCTCCTGGTGCTGCTCCTGCACAGTGCTCAGAAGGTGGTCGAGCTGTTGCCTTTGCTCTTCAAGCGCTTGGTCGCAATGTTGTGTCACTGTCGCAAGGGGGCCTAACTGGTCTAACTGTTGCTGCTGTTCTCTCAGCATTTGGTCGCAGTGCTGGGCGAGCTGAATCACGTTATCAAACTGTTGATGTTGCTCATGCAGCAAATGGTCACGGACTTGCTGCACCTGTGTGAGGGAATCTGTACTGAGCTGTTGGTGGCTTGCGGATAGGCTATCCAAGCCTGTTGACAGCTGAGTCAGCAGCTCCTGGTTCTGATGGTGAAGTGTCTCCAACACCGGACTGAAGTGTTGCCGCTGTTCCCTCATCATTTTTTCGTAATGTTTTGTGAGATCTTTCAAGGGATCCAGCTGGAACATGATCTCGTCACACCGTTGCGTCAGCTGCTGGCTAGATTCCGTGCAGAGCTCCTTTTGCTCAGTGGACAAGCCCTCCACCTGTGCTGTCAGCTGGGTCAGCAGCTGCATATGTCCATCCTCAAATCTGCCCACCATGAAATCCAGCTGCCTCACGATAAAAACTTCAGGGTTTACGGTTTAAGGTGGAGGGTTTAGGGTTGATCCAGCTGCCTCTGCTGTTCCAACTGGAGTTGGTCACACTGTTGCTTGAGCTGTGAGAGCAAGGCCGCGTCGTTCTGCAGCTCTGATTTTAGCTCCTGCTGGTTTCTTCCAATCTGATTCCTGACTGGGGTTTCATTCAAACACGCAACTTTTTGTCCTTGGTTGTGTTCTAATATAATCAAAAGCACAAGCCATTCTCAAAGAGGCTCTCCAATACATCGGCCTGTTCAGTTTGCTGATCCAGCTGCAACGTTAGCTTCTCCCAGTGGTGCATCTGACTTGCAGACAAACCTGTGGCTGCCAAATCTCACGGTTCCGGGTTTAGGGATTCTTGCAATCACTTCGTGTTTGGTTTTTTTCTCGGACTTTGACTAGCTTTTAAAGTTATGTAAGATATTAAGGAACTGGAGAAAAGGAGAGTTAGGACCTAAGTAATTGTACTAACTATCTAGTCTTGAGGGTTCAGGGAGTAGGGTTTAGGGCAGATAAGCCTCTGGTTGAAAATCGCTCAAGACAGGTGACAGAAGGGTTTCCTAAAATACTACCCTAGAGACATGCAGTATAAAAAAAAGGTTATGGGTGTCCCTCCTCAAATTTCTACGGGGATTGTTCCAGAAACTCCCAAATTCTCAAATCAGCATACATGAGGCTTAAAACCCTTCTTTTACGGCAAAGCACTTCCAAGACAGTTAAGAAACCAGCAAGCTGCGACGTAAGGTCAGCCTGGTTCCTGTCGAGAGCTCTGGTCAATGGCTGCTGCCATTCCAGCAGCTGGTCCGCCTGCTTTCAAGTGTTAGTCAACCAACCCTAGACCCTGAACGCCTCAACCCTGAACCTCTGAACCCCAACTCCTAATCCATCAGCCCTAAGCCCCTAAACCCTAACCTGTAATCCATAAACCCGTAACCCTACCCCCGCCACCTGTTTCCAAGTGAAAGTTCACAATTTGCTCATTCCCCATTACAGGACGTGTCCTTGAAGGGGTCTCGTTAAGATTCTATGCCTTTGGGTTCAGGGTTTAGAGTTTCGGATTTGGGGCTACAGGGGTCTTGTGAAGGGGTTGTTCGAATTCCTATTGCCTGTTGTGCCAACTGTTTTGTAGAGTGAATGCTGAACGTTTTCAGTGGTCTTCTCAGCACGACTCCACGTTGGCTGCTCAAGTAGGAGCCTAAACGATTGGAACAGGATTTGGGGATTCATAATACTAACCCTCCCAAACCCAAAACCCCAAACCCTCCATCCTACATTGGACACTTTTCCGTCCCAGTAGCGCCTACACGGCATGAACTTCTATTCTTCGATGATGTGAGGTTTTAGGGCTTAGGGCTTCATTATGGGGACCCTCCCCAAAAACGCTTTTTCTGGGACCCCAGTATGTTTGCTCAAGCAGTAACAACGATGCAGGACATCTGGAGTTAATAGTGTTGATGGACAAAACCCTGAGTGACCCTTTTTCCCTAAACCCTCTGAAACCTTAAACCCCAAACCCTGAACCCAGGGTCACACAGCATCTAGACTTTATAGCTTGTCCTGCAACATCCTGGGCTGGAACCAAGCTAGCCCTAAATTTGAAGGTTTAGGGCTTAGGGTTCCTCATGTGCCCTCTATATCTATGTTTATATCCCCACCCAGACAACACTCAGGGCAGTTTATACAAAGACGGCATGGGTAAAGGCTGATGTTTGAACAGCAGTTGATGCTCAAACCATGCACGACCTGAAGTACCTTAGACGTTGGGAGTTGTAGTCGTCTAGTATCAGAACCCAGAACCCCTAAAAGGATCCCCTAGCAATCCCATTATTGGTGTACTTGGACTCTTGGGGTGGAAAGCCCTTGCCAAGCCCCAACACCCTGCCTGCTGGGCAAGGGTCGCCATAATCTCTGCGACCTCGGATTTCAGGGTGTTTGGCAGGTTTGCAGGCCCCTACCTAATACGCGGCTTTTGGTAGCCTGACCCAGAAATTGGGACCCTGTTGCTGTCACAGGATGACTATAGGGTCTTAATTTTGGTGGTCCCCCGAAACCCTACTCCTGAAATTCAAAGTCCAAACCGTCTTAAAACCCTCTGATTCGTACCATCATGTGGTCTCCTCAAACCCTTCTGTTACCGACCCAAAGTCTCACCCTCAATCAAGCGTAAGTAAGCTTAGATAAGGGGATAATTAGAAACAGGATCTGCGTGGACATCGTTTAAGGGTAGTTGGCGGCTCCTGGCGCGTTTCCTTAGCTTCTATGTCCTTGATTCTTATCGGCCCTAAAACCCAGGCTCTTGGATGTTCATGAAAGAAAGGGCTACCGCTCGCCTTGTCCGTGATGTTCTTCATCTCAGCCCGCATTTCAGTCTTGCTAGCGAGGCTTTCCATAGCCTGACAGGATGAACCAAACTACATTGGCTTTTGGCTATAGGGTAATAATGGGAATATTCGAAGCATGGGTAATAACGATCATTGTGTTAAAGCAGTGGACAAGAGAATAGCAACAAGTTTAAGGTTAGTTGCTCTGTTTCCCGGCCCCGGGAAAGAGCCATAGTATCTACGCCTATTTGATCTTATTCCGGTCCGAACAGATCTTCCAGGAGTTAGGGGTCCGCTTTCTGGGCACCGCTACCCTTCCTCCTGAGGCGTTTCTATACTGGAGACCCCCCGCAACCCCCGCAATCCCCCCCCACCCACCAGAATACCTAAACCCTAAAAATCTAAACCCTCAAACACTTCTAAGACCCTTATATTCCTGTTTGGTCGTCACCAACAAGATCAGAACACAGCCTGACCTTCCTAAATCAGGTTTAGGGTTTAGGGCTTCGAGTGTTCGGGGTATGAGGGTTTTAGGATGAAGGGCTTAAGGTTATCGAACTAGTTTTGTAACTTATATACTCCAAATTCGATCCAACCCTATAAACTTTCAGGGTTCAGGGTTGGGCATTTGAAGTCCTGTAATCCCTAGAAAATGCCCAGAAGCCTCCTTGATTTCCCTAAACTCGTTTTCGTGGGCGCTCGAACGCGCAGAAACAGTGCCCAAGACCTCGACCTTCAGGTGATTGACCTTCCAGGCTGAGGACTTTAGAGTTTTTGGTTTCTGGCTTAGGCTTCAATTCTGGTTTAGGGTCTAAGATTTAGGGCTGAGGTTTAAGGTGAAGGTTTTCGGCCTCAATGTTGACGGCTTAGGGAATAGGGTGATGGGTTTAAGGCTTAGCTTGTTTCGTTTCCGTTGGGCTTCGTCTCCCAGGTCTCGGGTTTAGTGTAAAAGTCGTAGGCCAGGCCTACTCCAGCTGCTAGCCTCAAACGTTCAACGCTCAATCTTAACTCGAATCCTGTCAGGGGATATCGGACAAGGACCCTGTTGAGGAGCAGATAAGAAGGCGATGACTTTGCACATGCTTCTGCGCCAGCCTATGCTTGAATTATCCTAGTTGTGCCTGGATTCGACCTACTCAATCAACTCTCTTCGCTTTGTCATGAACCACTCATAAACAAACATGTCTCCAGAAATCCATGACCCCAAGCCACAAACCCTATACCCAATCCCCTCCGCCTAAGATTAAAACCTCCCACCCTCCCTTTTAAAAAATACTCCCTATCTACTATAATATACCATAGTGGGGAGTGTTCAATAGGAGGGGGGGTGGGGAGGTTCAACATTAGGGAGGGGATTATCTCCTAAACTCTCCGCCCTAAAGCCAAAGATAATACTAGTAATAGTAACAATACTTGTAATAATGGTAGAAATAGTAATACAAGGAGTAATAATAAAGGCAATAATCCCCAACATTACTCTCTTAGCACGGCGGCCACGCCTCACTAAAAGCGTTTTCCTGCTTCTGGAGGAGGTCTGTGCAGGCACGCTGTACCTCAGATTCCCCTTGAACCCTTGCAACTATTGGTTAGGAGTAACCCCCACCCTGGTATAGTAACTATCAGGGATAATACGGATTTTATTACGGTCCTCTTATGTTCCTATCATACCAATACTGCAGGATGGGGGGTCCTCCTAAACTATTGGTTTCATCCATTTGCTGGGGTTTATGATGTGCAGAACGGATAAAGAACAGTAGCTCAACAAGCAGAAGCAACCTAACCAAAACATAAAAGATAAGAAACAACATGTGAGAACAGGACATACCTAGACCCTAAACCACATCACATACACCATGAACCCTTAAACCCTAAAACCCTTAAACCCCAAACCCTTAAACCTTAAAACGAAAAAACCAGACACACCTAGGCACTTCCGCTTGGGCCGCTTGGGCCACGCCATCCATCTTTTGAAGCACCGCCTGGAGCCAGTCATTCAGCTGCTGCTTCAGCCTTGTGACCCAATGCGTCAGAATACTAACACGCGGTTACTGTAGTCTCCTTGGACCTGTAATAAGAATAGTACTTTCAATAATTCCTTAGGGTTATACAATAATGAAAATTAAAAACTTCCCAGGGAGACCACAGGTTGAGGGTTTAGGCTCTAGGGACTCATGGCAAACGACAGAGCAATAGTAACAGGAAGAGTAAGACTACTAGTAGTAAATGCTTTCATGGAATCCTTGCCGATCGCCTGTTCCCTATGACAACCCCAGTGCAATAGGCTTGGAGCCTTGACGCCTGATCTGTGAGCCTGCATTAGAATCTTGTCGCCCAGCTTAGGCGTATCCGCCCTCTTCATGTTCTTTAGTTTAGGCCATGATGTCTTAACCTTACACCCAAACCCTTACGGAAACCGGGTTGCTTCTGAGGAACTCATCATTGAAACCAATACCCGACATTACTATAGGTCCACATTATGCGAACTTAACCCGAAACTGTATGTAGTCCACAGAAAACGCTATAACCCCTTCAAGAGGACCACTTGTAGCGACTTAGTCTGAAGTCGTGAAAGCAAACCTGCGACTGCATGCTGATGAAGCCCAGGGTCGTCCGAGTCTCGTCCACTGAGGAAGACAGCACCACCTTGTCTAGGGTGCCAGCCTGAGTTGCCAATAACTACCAGGAACCTCCTAGTGCCCTTAATGGGGGATATGTCGCCCCTCATAGTGGGTAATTAGGCACTACTTGAAGGTAGAAGGAAGATCTAAGTAGGGGGGTTGAAGCTTTAAGCTTAAGGGTTTAGGTGGTTTAGGGTTTGGGTTAAAGGTGAAAGGTTTAGTGTTTGGGGCTTTGGGTTTAGTGTTTAAGGTTTAGGGATGAGAGGCCACCAAAAGGAACAGAACCCTTAGAAAGGAATAACAAGAAAATCTGCAGCTTTCTCAATTGTCCGTCGTATTTGGGCGATTGGGGGTTTACTTGAACAAGGTTCAGGAGATTGTTCTGTCAGAGTGATGTGCGGGGCTACATTGTTGGACTAGGTCTTTGAAGTATATGACTTGGCCTTACAAAGTGTTTTCCCACAGCAAAATTCAAGACCCAGAAGCAGGTATGAGGAAGTTGAAGTCATGGTTGTCCATGGCGCATCAATGTCTGGCTCCAGAAACGCCCTAAAGCCTAAACGCAAACCCCTTAACCTCTAAAATGCTAAACCCTAACACCTGGTCATCAGGCCTCTCCCGTTATGACGCCTGCATAAAACCAACCCTAGTGGCACCCAAGCCCACAAATAGTACAAATCGTGGCCCATAGGGGTTGGGGTTTAGGGTTGTCAACCTTTTGGGCTCAACATACATCACTTATGTCTAAGTACTTGGACCCTTATGGGGAAAGGTTTGCCGGGTTTTTTCACCATCGCCATCCGCACTGCAGCGCTTTGGGATTGAGAAGAAGTCCGCGGATCGGTTGCACAAAACTCCCTCCACGGACCCTCGCCTTCGAGCTCCCATTAATTTGCGAGTTCCTCTATGCAGAAACAACAATTGAAATCCTGAAGTATTACAATCCCTGTTATACTGGGACACCCAGAAATGCACCCCGAATTATTGGAAACTTCTCCTCGAGCTCATGGCCAGGTTCTGAGGCCTTGCCGAAAGCCTGCTAATGGCCACCCACACCTTGCCCTAAACCCTAAACCCGAAAGCCTAAACCCTATGAAGCCTAAATAAACACTGAGACATTCAAACCGAAGAGTCTTGTTCAGGATCGGGCCGACCTCAATTTCCATTTTTCTTGGGAGGGGGTGTGGGCCCCAAGATTAAACAGGGCCCCACATTATCAAATACCATAAGCCATGACACCGAGATGCTCTTATGTAGCTATGGTTTGCGAGTAAACGAAAATAGCACCCAAAAACCCCAAGCCCTAAACTGAGACTCCGCAGGAGCCCTGATTGGGGTAGGGTTCACGAGGTTTGGCAGCCAAAGCACATAGGCACTGCCGACCCCAAATGCCGCGGTTAAGGGTTTAGGGTTTAGGGGACCCTAAACCCTCAATCCTAGACCCTAAACCAACCCCAAATCCTAAAGCTTAAATCCGTGACCAACCCTAAACCATAGACTCTAGACCCTAAACCTCTTCTGCGGGCTCCCGAGATCGATGTAGCGGCAGCGAACTTCGAAATCCCGAAGCCCGGGTCGAATCGATAACTTTTATGTTTAGAGTTTAGGGTTGAGGGTATAGGGTGTATTTGGAGGTTCATGGGAAGTAGTAACTAGTCATAACTGGGCTTGTAGCCCAATTAAAACCCCGTTTATAAGCTACCCCAATAATTAATTATTTGCAAAGTCGCATGAACCTCTAAGCAGGGTTTGGGGGATTGGGGGCTTAAGGTATAGAGTGTATACAAAGGCTTTTAAGAGGGTTTGGGAATAGAGCTCATGTAATGCTTCAGGCTCTGAGTTTCCGCTGAAGTTCCTTTTGGCCCTGTTCCGGTCAGCTACCCAGGTTTAGGGTTTAGGGTTGCCCACAGGCTCCTATGTAGCTTATCCCAAGAATATAGAGTCAAAGAGGGTGGAAGACGAAGTGGAAACCTGGCTCATAAGGATCATGATGCCGTGTATTCTGTCTTTTGACGCCGTTGCTCCTAATTCGTTCCTTTTTGAATCTGTCAAATGTTTTTGGGTAGGATAGGAAGTAGCATACGACCCGAGAGGATTAACATAGTTTAGGCCCTAGTGTAGAAAACCCACCCCCCAAACATGGGAATCCCAAGTTCTGACTAAGTTGACCCTATAGTCTCTGATGATGAATTACTGTCATAGATACCACTCGTGTTTCGTAATTTACCTACCTAGGAATCACTAGCTAGAGGCCCCCTAAGCTTGCCAGGTAATCAGGGCTGCGCAACTTAAGCCCTCATCGCTGCAGTCTAATTAAACCCTCAACCCTTAAACCCTCAACCCTTAACCTTTAAGCCCAAACCCTAGACAAACCCTAAATCCTAAACCCTAACCCTGGGTGAACTTTTTTTGTCATCAGTGGCAGGCTCTCCTGGTTGCCTCGAGGCATCTGAGCATGCTGTTGCTGCGAAGAACTTTGCGCAGTTGTGAACAGCTTTTGTGTGCCAGCCGTCCTTGGTTGGGGTCTAGAAGTTTGGGGTTCAGGCGTTCAGGGTTCTTGGGATTAAGGTTGTAGGGTTTAAGGTTTTTGGGTTTGAGGATCTTTGGGTGTAGGACTTTCGGGTTTCAGAGGTGGGCTATGGACTTTAGGGCTTAAGCATTCAGGCTGTCGGGTTCCCAGCGTATAACGTACTTTTGGTCATGCAGGATCTTTTATGTCCACTCTATAACACAAACTGTAAACTGCAAACACAGTCTCCGTGTTATTTCCCATGTTCCATTTGATTCTCCAGTATTGGAGCTATGTCACTCCATATATGCCCATGTAACCCTACATAATCCTATATAACATAACCCTATATATACCTGTATATGCATATGTATATATATATATGTATATATATATATATTTGCATATCCTATCTACCTACCGTTACTCAGTAACCGAAGGTCTCGGCGCCCATTGGTCGGGTCGTGGCCTGCCCTTGCCCAGAAGTTCCGGCAAGTTGATCTTGAAACGAATTCCTGGGTTGCTGTTAAGGAACCTAAATCAAAGGTTTAGGACCCTAAACTGCGTACAGATTGCCGTACTGTCTCCTCTTGATGGCAGCTTATTTTACGTTCGCTTAAGAGGCTAACGTTTGGGGTTCAGGGGTTAGCAACAGCCCAGATTCAGCACGGGCTCGCGCTGTGGCCGCTGCAGCGGCTGCGTGAGCATGTCCTTGCTGCTGCGACACCCATAGCCAGACACTCCCAGAACCCTTAACCCTAACTTCGGGTTTGGGGTTTAGGCCCTAAATCCCTAAACCTTAAACCCTAATCAAAGCCGAACTGCGAGCCCGAAACTCCGACCCTTGATAGAATGCACTGCATTTCGAACCTTATCCTAGAGGCTTTCAACCTTGGCCCCAGGATCCCAGTAGTAGTGCTAGTGATGGTGATGGTAATGGTAGTAGTATTAGGTATTGGTGGTAGGACTTAAAAGAAATAGAACAAGTAGATTGGTGACAATTACACTACAGAAGATGTTGCTAAGAATATAACTGTTTAGCCTTGGCCCAGGCGTCAGTTCTCAGCTGCGCCTGTTCCTTTGACAGACGCTCCACAGAGGTCTTTAGCTGTGTCAAAAGCTCTTGATGTCGGTCCTGCGGCTTGCTGAACCTGAGTTTAGAATCGGTTAGGCGTGGGAATTCGGGTTGGATTTTTAGGGGATTTACAGGGTCTGCGGTTTAGGATCTAAGGTTTGGGGCTGTAACGGAGAATCAAATGGAAAATAGCATGGAGATAAATTCATGCAGAAATTTACAAGGATTGTAGCGTCGGGGCCCAAACCATTGAAATAGTGCTTTGTACAGATGTAGAGGCACCGGCTTAAGAACAACTGGTAATGACCTAGGCCTTCACCGTGTACGATGAAGAGCACCATTGAAGCGTCTGAATCAAAATTCTGCTTATAAGGTTTGGGGTTTTTTGTTAAGGGGAATCTCTCGAAATAATGGGACCCCCACATACTATAATCCTTTTTATAGGGACGCTCAAGAAGGTACCCTTAATTTTTGGAAACTCACACATCTGTTTCTTACTGCCGGGCTCTATGACCGACCCTACACCCTACTCCCGAAGACACGGTCAACAAAGCATGACTGACGAGCCCAAGGACAAACGATCTAGTTGTTGCCCTTGTTCCTTCAACAGGGTAGGTTTGGGGTTTTGGGCTTGGGGTTTAGGGTAGGGAGCAGCCCTATAAAAGTATTTTGTACAGCTGCATAGGGATTACTCAGCATTATCTGGCGATTACGAGTAATAAGCGTTGTTGCCCTTGTTCCTTCAGCAGTTGGTCCCACTGCTTTGTGAGCTTCCTCTGCGAATCGGTGCTCAATTGCTTTTGTTCTTCGGCAAGGCAATCCAGCTGCTCGTCGAAAAGCGATTCCAGCTGTTTCACTAGCTCTTGGCGCTGATCTTGTATTGTGCCTGGGCTCAGAGGCAAAAGGCAGGAAAACCTTTTCGTGTACTTGGGACTCCCCTTGCAAGACGATGTACAGTATACATTAGGTGGATCCCTGCTCTGTAGTATTGGCAACAAAATGGGTCTCAGAGGACGCTGGTGGGACATCCCCCCAGAATATACACAGGCCGAGAGACTCAAGAGGGGATCCAGATGCTGTTGCTGCTGTTGTTGCTGCTCTCGCAGTTGTTCGTATTGCTGCCTAAGCTGATCGAGTGAGTCGATGTTGAGCTGCTTGTGTTCTGCGAACAAATTATCCAACTGCACCGTCAGGTGAGACAGCAGCTCTTGATTCTCATTGTGCCGTGTGCCGAAGGTGGAATCCAGTTGTTGCAAGAGCAGGTCGTAGTTTTGCTTGAGATCAGCAACCGAGTCAGTGTTGAGCTGCTTGCACTCCGACGACAAACTTTGGAACTGGCTCTCAACTTGTGATGCCACCTGAGAGGGCAGCTCCTGGTGCTGCTCCTGCACAGTGCTCAGAAGCTGGTCGAGCTGTTGCTTTTGCTCTTCAAGCGCTTGGTCGCAATGTTGTGTCACTGTCGCAAGGGGGCCCAACTGGTCTAACTGTTGCTGCTGTTCTCTCAGCATTTGGTCGCAGTGCTGGGCGAGCTGAATCACGTTATCAAACTGCTGATGTTGCTCATGCAGCAAATGGTCACGGACTTGCTGCACCTGTGTGAGGGAATCTGTACTGAGCTGTTGGTGGCTTGCGGATAGGCTATCCAAGCCTGTTGACAGCTGAGTCAGCAGCTCCTGGTTCTGATGGTGAAGTGTCTCCAACACCGGGGTGAACTGCTGCCGCTGTTCCCTCAGCAATCTGTCGTAGTGCTTTGTGAGATCTTTCAAGGGGTCCAAGTGAAACATGATCTGGTCGCACCGTTGTGTCAGCTGCTCATGAGAATCCGAGCTGAGCTGCTTCTGTTCGGTGGACAAGCACTCCTGAGATGTATCCCGCGGCTCTACAGAAATGTAATTCCTATGCGTTTATCGGGATCTTATAGGGATATTGCCCACAATCATCAAAATCATTCTCAGAAATGTCTCCCAGCCTCCGCCTGTGCTGTTAGTTGGGTCAACAGTTGCACATGTTGATCCTCAAATCTGCCCAGCATGGTATCCAGCTGCCTGTGCTGTTCGAGCTCGACTTGGTTGCACTGTTCTTTGAGCTGTGAGAGCAAGTGCCTGGGCTGCTTTTCAGGAAGTTACATCAAGTTAGCATAATATGGGTGTACAGTAAATATTCGAGTTTACTGATTTTGGTTCCTTAACTTTAAATTCCTTAACAGCAACCCAGGTGCGCGTGTTTCTCCAGCTCTAGTTTCAACTCCTGGTGGTTTCTTCCCGTCTGGATCCTTGTTGGGATGTCATCGAAACGTGTAACTGTTTACTTGCCTCTGCTTTTAATGCAACGAGCGATCGAAAACCGTTTTCAATGAGGCTCTCTATTCTGAACAGATGTACCTTTATGTTCCGTACTGGCCCCATAGCAAAGAGAAGCTGAAATAGGAAACAAGTTCAATCAGGCTCTCTCTTGCATGAAAACATGCAACTTTATGTTCTTTATTTAGCTTTAACAGAAAAAAGTGAAACGCGGTTTCGAATGAGGCTCTCTAATGCATCGGCCTTTTCAGTTTGCCGGTCCAGCTGCAATGACAGCTTCTGGAAATGCTGCATCTGAGTGGAATACAAACCTGTGGCTGACAAACCATATGGTTTAGGCTTTAGGATCTATAGGGTTTAGGGATTTTGTTTTGCAGGGTTTAGGGATTTGGTTCTACAGGGTTTACTAGGGATTGGGGTTTAGGGATCAGGGTTTCGGGTCACGGGATTACGGTTTATAGAGTTTAGGGATTAGGGTTTACCCTAAAACACGATTCCCAGGGGATCTACGGTCGACAGGCCCGTTGCTGATGGATCGCAAGACAGGTGACGTAGGTGCTACAGTTCTATCATAAGGACAATATAGATAGTATTAGATACTTGCATCTATGCACGCTTCTACTCCTCAGCCTTGAAGCCTAAGATTCCTCCAAAGGCAGTCAAGAAACAAGCCAGTTGTGATGTAAGATCGGCCTGGTTCCGATCCAGTGCGCTGGTCAATGGCTGCTGCCATTCCAGTAGCAAGTCTGCCTGCATCCAGATGTTAGCCCCAAATCCTTAGACCTAGAAGCTTCAAGTGGTGTTCGCAACCAGGCTGGGCCTGAACCCCTATATATACACACACGCCCAGATTCCTTTTCATTTCTAATTTTTCCATTTGATTTCCCGCTAGTGTACTTATTTAGGCACCTCTGAGCAACATTAGCAAGCATCAGACAACACACACATGCACCAAAACCCTCAATGGTAGTTTCCATGTTCTTTTCCATTACCTCTGTACAACTCTATCCCATTACCCTTCTAAAAAGGCCTACGTATCTGCCGCAATATGACCCCAACATCGGCTGATGCGGACGGACTCTAGCTCACAGACCAGAGTCTTGCAATTATTTCAACCTCCAAATGGGAAGCTTTCAAGGGTTTGGGATCACATGAAAATCAACATCTACCTAAACTCTCATAAACTGAGGGTTTAAGGTCTCGGGGTTTTGGGGTGTAGGGGTTTAGGGTCTAAGGTCTCATACAAAGCGGGCAAGTCTAAAACGACCCCTCTACCGTAACTCTCGGGTATACAGAACCTAGAATCCATATTTAGGCAACTGGAGGCCTAGGGATAATTGTTCTTCCGTCATATGGGGTCTTCTCGAAATTAGGGATAGCTGTTTGGGGAGTCCCTATAATAAAGGTCATAGTATGTTGGGGGTGATATTGGGGTGCCCCTCTTGGTGGACACTATCATAAAATAGTAATATGTTGGGGCATTATCAGAGGGTTGGAAAGGTTTATCATTCGGAGGATGGAGCCAGGCTCCTTTGCACTGAGCCAGAGAGCTACGGTGTGGTTGGAGCAAGAGGATGCACAGAACATCATTCACACCACTGATGGTAGTTAATCCCCATCATTACATCCTCCAGCAGGACCAAGATGCGGAAACGGAGAGGAGTGGATTGTGCATTAAAACATCTGATAATTTGAAAAATTAGCAGAATCAGCTGCCCATCGCAAGAAACTGTAACAGCGGCGCAAGCTCAGATGAAGCACTTAATCCGAGCGGCAAAGCTGAATGTCACAACCTCTTCGCTGAAAGCCCGTCCCGTCTTGCTAAAGCACCGACAAGACAGCACCCCGCCTGCTGGGCAAGCGTCGCCATGATCTCTGCGATCTCGGTTTCAAGGTGTTTTGTAGGTTCGTACACAGTACTGCAGTACTTCTCAGGGATTGCGCTGGTTTTTATTATCGACATTGGTAAGCCAAAGCTAGTGCCTGTGCTTCCTGAGCTCTATGCTCTTGACTATTCATGAACTTAGATGGCCTGGAAATTGGTTAAATGGCTAGTCATTGTTGTGATCATGGGGCCTTACATTCCCCCATAACCTCGCATCACCATTCTTACTGAGCATTTGGCTAGTTCTCAGCCCAGCTAAGAAGAGGCTTGCCTTGTCGGTGATGTTCTTCATTCCAGCTCGCATTTCAGTCTTGCTAGCAAGGCTGTCCATAGCCTGCCAGGACGCGCCAAACTTTCTGTCTGCCAAACAGTCAGGGGTTTAGGGTTTAGGGCTTGAAGGCTAAGGGGTTACCTTTTGAGGGTTTTGGGGTTGCGGGTTTCTTCCTGAACTCTCTAGACCCTACCATAGGGTTTGGGATGCAGAGTTCTGGTTCCAGCCCAGCCTGTCTGACTTCCCGAATCTCGTTTTCATGGTCAGTTGCACGTGAAGCAACAGTGCCCAAAACCTCGATCTTCAAATGGTTGACCTTGCAGGATGCAAGCGTTTCTGTTGATCTATATTGCTGGGTTTAAGGTATACTTCCCTACTAATAGAGGCTATATTCGAAATATCTAGGGTTTAGGGTTGAGGTCCAAGGACTAACCTTCCAGGATAAGGGTTTGAGGGAGAGTGTTGTGATGAATATAGGGTTTATTTCAAAGGAAAAGGTTTGGTCTAATTATGGCTGTGCGAGCGTGCTAAGGGGTTAATATTGTTACTTGTTTCGGCTTCTAAGCCCTAAACCCTGAGCCCTGACCCCTACGGTTTGGGGTTTAGGATTGGTGATTACTTAGGCTTCTGCATTCGAACTAATGACCTCTGAGCCCCGGGAGCTAGCATCAAGCAGGTCCAAGAAAGGAAAGGGGCCCAAACCCTAAGCCCCTACACCTGAAACCAAAACCCCTAAACCCAAACCTTCAAACTCCCTTCTCTCTGGCCTAACCCTCAAGGTTGAAATTCAACCCGAAGCTATCAAGGAATATATGTACGGTAAATGAGGGATATACTGGGTTTAGGGTTTAAGGTTCAGGCATCAGGGGTTTACGGTTTAGGGTTTAGGCCTAAGAGCAGGGGGAATATTTCGGGGTTGTACAAGGTTTGGGGTTTAGGGTTTACGGCTTAGGGTATAGTACCCTATAATGGAGAATCAAATGGACAAGAAACTGGGACATGAAATGAAAACATGGGTTGTGTAGTCCCCGGGGTTGGGTTATTTGGCATGGGGCCCCTGAGTTTTGAGAAGACCTGTGAAGGATGGCCCGTGTTGATGATGACTTCGAAAGTGCTTCTGCAGTGACCAAATGAGAGGGAATCTAGCTCACCGCGCATCCTAGTTGCGGCTATGCGAATTGCATCCTAAATCGGCCTGCAAAGGCTTCGCCTTGTCTCCTGAACCACCCCCCCCCCGCCCTGTAAACAAGATTGTTTCCAGGAGGACCTACCCTCACCGAAAGTAGCCTGAAAGCCTGCACATGCCACGTTAAAAAGGGCGGCAGTCACTAGGGCCCAGGAGCATAATTTCCAGGATCTGCTGCGGAGTGGAGTGTGAAAATGCATAAGGGGAAATTACAGGAATTAGGGGTGTGATTCAATCTAAACCATTCCAGCGGTCAGGGTTCATAAGCCCTGTTGACTTGAGCAGATCCAGAATGGTTGGTTCCAATTGAACTAGCTAAGCTTTTGAGCGTGCCAATTGAACTAGCTAAGCTTTTGAGTGTGCCATGCACCCCGCAAATAATCCCTGGCAATTACCAAAAGTCTGTATGATTTTGTGTATCAGGGGGAAGAGCAGGGAAGATGCTGCAACTCATGTGCAGTACATTTTCTGCAAGGCATACGATTTCAACCTTGAAAACAAGCAGCACCAATAAGGAACTAAATAGGAGCCTTTGGGCCTTGGCTGTAAACCCTAAAACCTGAACCTCAAACCTCAAACGTGGTTTAGGGTTTAAGGTTTCTGGCAAACCATCGGCCCCAAGCCCTGAACCCTAAACCCTCCGTCCTGAACGCTAAAATATGATACGAATTGTCCTCATAATCATAACGGTAGCAATAGTAATGATAGTAAAAAGTGATAACAGGAATAATCCCCAACTGGTAGTACTGATAATAATATTTGCAATAATAGTAATGGTAGCAGTAGTAATAATAGTAGCATCAGTCATAACAATAACAATCCCCAACGTTACTCTCTTAGCACGATAGGCCATGCCTCGCTAAAAGCGTGCTCCTGCTTCTGCAACAGGTCCGTGCAAGCGCGCTTTACCTCAGACCGCACTTGAAGCCATGCGGTTTAGGGTTTAGGGTTTAGGCCGAACAATACATGTTTGGCGGCTTATTAAGCAAAAGGAAAGCATGTAATAAACAACATACATCATACAAAGAAAAGCCAACAACAGAACAAGAAAATAGCAAAAACGATTTTGATGCTATCGCTAGGTACCTGAACCCTAAACCCTAAAACCCCCTAACAAAACGGCATGCCTAGGTACCTCAGACTGGGCCGCTTGGGCCACACCATCCATCTTTTCGAGCACTGTCTTGAGCCAGTCATTCAGCTGCTGCTTCAGCCTGGCGACCAACGTCTAGTAATCCCTTCATACTGAGATTAACCTCCAAGAAAGGGGTTTATGAGCGGCTTTAAGTCCTACCCCTATCACCACCACCACCACCACCACCACCGCCACCGCCACCGCCACCGCCACCGCCACCGCCACCGCCACCGCCACCGCCACCACCACCGCCAGCGCCAGCGCCAGCGCCAGCGCCAGCGCCAGCGCCAGCGCCAGCGCCAGCGCCAGCACCACCACCACCACCACCACCACCACCACC